GAAGTTTGCTAGAGTGCATTTGGATTACCCAGAAGAGGATTGGGAGAATGTCATATGGTCAGATGAAACCAAAATATAACTTTTTGGTAAAAACTCAACTCGTCGTGTTTGGAGGACAAAGAATGCTGAGCTGCATCCAAAGAACACCATACCTACTGTGAAGCATGGGGGTGGAAACATCATGCTTTGGGGCTGTTCTTCTGCAAAGGGACCAGGACGACTGATCCGTGTAAAGGAAAGAATGATTGGGGCCATGTATCGTGAGATTTTGAGTGAAAACCTCCTTCCATCAGCAAGGGCATTGAAGATGAAACGTGGCTGGGTCTTTCAGCATGACAATGATCCCAAACACACCGCCCGGGCAACGAAGGAGTGGCTTCGTAAGGAGTGGCCTAGCCAGTCTCCAGATCTCAACCCCATAGAAAATCTTTGGAGGGAGTTGAAAGTCTGCGTTGCCCAGCGACAGCCCCAAAACATCACTGCTCTAGAGGAGATCTGCATGGAGGAATGGGCCAAAATACCAGCAACAGTGTGTGAAAACCTTGTGAAGATTTACAGAAAACGTTTGACCTGTGTCATTGCCAACAAAGGGTATATAACAAAGTATTGAGATACTTTTGTTATTGACCAAATACTTATTTTCCACCATAATTTGCAAACAAAATCATAAAAAATCCTACAATGTGATTTTCTGGATTTTTTTTCTTCTCATTTTGTCTGTCATAGTTTACGTGTACCTATGATGAAAATTACAGGCCTCTCTCATCTTTTTAAGTGGGAGAACTTGCACAATTGGTGGCTGACTAAATACTTTTTTCCCCCACTGTATCTGCAATATTAAGCTGATCTACCCCCCCCCCCCCCAAAAAAAAGTATATATATATACTTTGCTGATTAATAAAGCTTTGCTACATTGTATTCTCATAAAACTGTGTGGGTTTTACAACAACCAAGTGTTCCTCTGTTTGATGAAGTAGAGACCCAGCTACGTGGTTTCCACTAGTTACCATAGCCACAAAGTCAAAATGTTCTATATTGTAAATATTTAATTAATTTAAGATTAGGGTTAGGCATAAGGTTAGCAGTGTGGTTAATGTTATGTTTAAAATCATATTTTAAGAAGATAAATTGTAAAAATGGGTGGGGTTTATTACTTTGTGGCTGTAGTAACTTGTGACGACCCTATTACATGGTCTGGTCTCGACATTTCCGTGTTTTGATGTTCAGCTGAGAGATCACAGTGGAAGAACAAAGATCACAAGCCTTCAGATTGATGCATTATTTCTTGCAAGCATCTCATTGGTCGAATGGCTTTGAGCGTTGATTTACTGATGCCAAATCAGCCCTCTTGGGTTATCATATGAGCAATAGGCAGTCAACAGTCACACTTCAGGGTACCACTTTAATAATTGTATTCCTACATCCCAGTCATAGATGTATCTTATTCTCTGGGTCCAAATGGTTCAAATTAATGTCTGTGGATTGGCTAATGGGTGAATATATTTAATCACAAGGTGGCGACATTGCTATGGGTTCCTGCAATCACTCACTTGAACATATCAACCATATTCTAGCCTACTTCATGTGTAAGTGATAGAATGTTATTTGTCACCTGTAGCCTACAACTGCAGATTGTCAGGTTTCTTTAGTATTGTTTTTCGTTAGGTAGGCCTAACTTTAGATGGTGGGACAACCTACTGAAACTAATCCTATAGCCTATAAGAAGTAGGCTATTTTCAATTTAATAAAAAAACACTTGTTGCAACATGATCACAAATGTTTAAAATAATAATAATTTTAAGACTTAGATCAAACTGTTAAGTTTGGCAATTATAACGTTTGAAGTAAAAAGTTAAGTATTTTGGCCTTCTTGACTAAGCTTCATTGATGATATTGAATCAGTCTTAATGAATGTAAGAACATCAAATCCGTTGAGTTGTCAATGTGAATTTAAATTTTGCCGCCTAATAAATGGAAAAAATATTTGAATTAGGCTACCCGCTAAAAAAGGCACATTGATAACCGAGATATGATGCATCTCAACACATTATAGTAGTCTCACAATTTCATAAAATAATCATAATCATATGGAATCGATAAACATTAGATTTAACAATGATAAACGATGATGATGAAGTCTACTAAAAGGTGTACAGACCAGCACAGTCTATCTTAGCTCTCGAAAACTCTAGGCGGCATTCTTCCTTCTCCCTACAGTTCTCAGCCATTAGCTTCGCCCACGACTGCCTCATGTGAACTACAATCCCGCCGCTGTGTTTTAACGTTTAGAAACATCAATAATCATCGCTTGCGATACGACTTTCGAATCATATGGCCCTTACCTTTCATCAGCGAGAAAGAATCCTTCAAATTAAAAAGAAACACTTACTGTAGCAGGATTGCACAGAGCCACACAGCTATGGGTGCATCCATCTAACGAAACTACACTTCCGCTACATTTCCCGAGATACGCTTACACAAAGGTGTTCGAGGCATACTAGGTGGCTAATTAGCACAGGTGGTCACCTCTTGTCTTCCGTCTGTTTCCTGTAAACAAGCTCTGTAACATGGAGATATGGCCGTGTGGGAAGCCTAACCCTATGAAGGTGTGTATCAATTTAACCTTTTGTTTTTTTTAAATGATTGAAAGATAAGGTCCTTATGCTTCCAATGCCGCACCTCAAGCGACATGTGTTAAGGTTCAGATTGAGCGTCGGGGATCAGAAGACGCCTTGGTCCAATGACTCTTATGTGCAATGTAATGGAACTGAGAGTCATGATCAAGGGGTAAGGCCATCCCACAGCATTGGCCATTTCATGTTTCTGTGGATCATGTGATTTATGACAGCCACTTCAATGCGCTCGCCCCGGCGTGAGAACCAGTCCAGAGCAAAGCAGATAACCCTCGGATTTATGACCGAGCGCTGTTCCCATGATTGTCGGTGGGCAGTAGGCGGAAATGCTGATACTTTTTCTCTCAAGGAATTTAATGGTTTTACAGTGATTTACTAACGTAAATCTTTCTAACAGACTCGTGATAAAGAGAGTGGATTAGGCCAGTATAAATAACCATCTTGGTATGAGTGACCAAAGTTGTTTTGCCTTTATACCTCATTGGGCAAAAACTGGTTGAATCAATGTTTTTTCCATGTCATTTCAACCAAATAAATCAATGTGATGACGTTGAATCAATGTGGGAAACTGATTGGATTTGCAAAAGTCATCAACGTAAGGGCATTTCCTCTTTTTTTCACCCAACCTTTAACCAAAATCCAATGACGTGACCATTTTTGTTGAATTCATGTTGAATTCACGTTAGTTGAAAACTCAACCAAATGTAAATCAAAACTAGACGTTGAACTGACGTCTGTGCCCAGTGGGACTTCAGTTCCAAACCAGTGGTTCGTCAGGGATGCTGATACCCTGCGATTGCGTTGACAAGTTCTTTCTCCAAGGGAGAAAATAACCGAACCAGACTCTGTACAGATTCCCTTTTTCCCCTTTGAATACCATCTCACATTACCATAGGCTAACCAATAACATTATAGCGTACAATCAACTAGAGGTGCAGTCTACAAGTGGCACAATAGACACATGGAACTGGATATCTTTTTAAACGTCAAAGTCTATAAGTCCCTATAGTAGATATAATTACAGAATAGGGTGAGTTGTTGTCTAGAAAGGCTGTAGAAATGTTAGTGACTGATTTACAACACTGTGCACAGACAGTGCCAGACAGTGCCAGTTATGCAATTGTACTTATGTATGTGTGTCTTAGGGAGTTTTGTTTTCCCCATCCTCTCAACAACACATAACAGGAAGGATGAATATTTTCCCTCACCAAAATAGATTAAACTTTGTGGTCTTCAAAAAACAATTTATTTTATTATGGCGTTAGAGCATTGGCACACACTCTGGCTCCATTGATCTGTTGTGGTGAAAACAAAGAAGAATATGCTCTGAGTGGCCAAATATATAAAAAAATATTTTTAATCAGTGACATCTGTAGAGTAGGCCTAGAGGGCTTGTTTGCATAGAAAACGGTTACAACAGAATACAAAATAAAAAAGCCAAACAAGTTACAGTGGTATCATTGAACTGCAGTTGGAAGTGCTAGGCTATGTGATGTGTTGTTTTTGTAGTTTCTAAAGGAAAAAGCGCCTGTCTCTTCTTTCCAGCAGAAAATGTAAATGCATCACCAAATATGTATTCTTCTATCTTCCATATAGCTTCTAGTTCATCTCATATTTACAAACGTGTAAGTTAATGGATTAGATTAGAAACACTCTGCATTGATTCATTCATTGACTGTTTATCTCCAAACCCTTTGGTTCTTCATTTGATTGATTATAACAACTCCTAAAGACACTGCCCACTGGGCACAAACTGGTTGAATAGACGTTGTTTACACGTCATTTCATCTCAAAAAAATCTATGGGATGACGTTGAATCACAGTGCAAAACTGATTTGAATTTGAAAAAGTAATCAACGTAAGGGCATTTCGTATTTCTTTCACCCAACTTTTAACCTAAATCCAATGACATGGTGACATTTTTGGTTGATTTCACGTTGAATTCACGTTAGCTGACAACTCAACCAAATGTAAATCAAAAGTAGACGTTGAACTGACGTCTGAGCCCAGTAGGTGCTTTGTGAGTGTTTATCACACTATTTCCCCACCAAGAGAATCTCAACTGAGTTGAGGTCAGAGCAAAACAAAACTTCTGCTGGATATTTTAAGGAATTTTGTTTCCATTTCACATATTCAGAAAATAGTACTCATAATAATATGAATTAAATAGCCAATTTTGGGGAAGCAAATGGTCTAGTGACAGTGTTAAGAAAATTATGAAAACAAACTGACACTGAAGACGGAGAAAAAGACCGGAGCTAGAGAGGTCCAATTTCAGTGTTGTTATTCAATCAAAATAAATCATTAATACATTTTAAGTGGATTTAATTATCCTCTGTCGCTCTCCCATAAGAGAACTTGGATTTGCTCTGAATCTGCACACAGTCAGACATGAAATAAGCTGGTGGAATAAAAGTCCATGGACACCAAAAAAAACAAGCCATAGTTAATAAAACAGTATTGTTCCTTTATCTTCAAAGTGTGGAAGTCCTCTAGCCACCCTGAGACCTTCGAAAAGTCAAACACTTAAAAGGCTCCTACTTCTGTTCCCCAAGGTCTGTACGGTTTGCTGCTGCTGCTCTCTCGGTCTCTGCTCTGCTGTGAGGTGGATGAGGTGGATATGGAGGGGCTCACAGCTGAAGCTACCATAGACGCTGTGCTGCTCACACTGTGAGGTGTGAAGATGGGGAATCCTCCAGGGAATGACAGGGGAAAAGTCTGGGCCGCAGCAGCAGCTGCCGCGGCGTGAACAGTAGCCGATAGCGACAGGAGGGAGGTGGAGAGCGGGGGGACGCAGGGAGCCACGCTGCCATTAGAGGGCGCCCTGTGAGAGGAGTCGGTATGGGAGAAGGTGGCCGTTAGGAGGGCTGAGCCGCGCTGGGGCACCTCCACAGACAGTCTGCTGGCGGCGTTGTCTGAGGAGGGCAGTCCATTCTGCTGGAGGAAGGCGGTGGGGAAGGGGTGGAAGGCGGCGGCCCAGTGGTGAGGGTGGAGAGCCTGCTGGTGGTGTGTCATAGATGAGGTCATGGCAGCCGCCTCCCTCTGGGATGCGCAGGTGCTGAGGTGGGAGACCAGGCGTACACGCAGGGGGTCGCTGCTGTCTAATCCCTCCACAGAGCTCAGGTATCTGGCCACCTCCGTCAGACACTCCCTGAACCCCACACTCATGAAGTCCATGGCCAGGGAGTGGGCATCAAAGTACCCTAGAGAGAGCGAGAGAGAGAGAGAGCGAGAGAGCGAGAGAGCGAGAGAGCGAGAGAGCGAGAGAGAGAGAGAGCGAGAGAGCGAGAGAGCGAGAGAGAGAGAGAGAGAGAGAGAGAGAGAGAGAGAGAGAGAGAGAGAGAGAGAGAGAGAGAGAGAGAGAGAGAGAGAGAGAGAGAGAGAGAGAGAGAGAGAGAGAGATATTATGAATGCCAAGCACCTATAAATACTGGCAGTCTCTCTAAGGATCTGTAATGTAGCCAGCAGCTACTGATGGGAGTGATTACTAAATGGTGTGGGATGGATACACGCTGGTCTCCCAGGCTGACCATTAGGGCTCCGGCTGTGCCTCCAGGCATAACCTTAACAGTCTGGGATTGTGCTGGGATGTGTTTGTGCTGGGATGTGTTTGTTTTGTCTCACCCGTTTTTACACTTGCTGGAAACCCCAAACAAACCCCCGACAGGGCAACCTATGAATGCAGCCTTCTCCCCTCCCACGGATTTATGAAAGCAAACACAATCCCAGGGTCAAGTGCTCCTTTAGTCCGAGCAGCGCTTTTCCACAAGTTCAAACCTACCATTAGCATTGATTTCCACTCCTTCAATCTTGTCAAAGGGGACTGCTTGCTCAGATTTCACTACACAGTAAGGCAGAGAGCAGAGAGATGCAACCAGTGAACTCCTTACCTTTACCGCCAGTGGCCTGCAGCATCTTTAGGTGATCCACTGTCATCTGCAATATTTCTGCCTTCTCTAATTTGGCTGAACCCTGCAAGGAGCAATAGGATGTATGAGGCTTAGAACTCTCATAACTATCAATGAAAATGACCCACAAACTGTCATAACTGTTTTGATGAAAATGAAACTTTTGTGTAAGTTCCTTTTAGAAATGAGAGAGGATATAATTTCAACTCACTTGTTTTTCAAATGCAGTTGGGACAAGTCGACGTAACTCTGATAAACTATTATTGATTCGATCCCTCCTTCTTTTCTCGATGATCTACGATAGACAAATATTTTATTGCATACTTTGAAATATAACAATACAAGGCCTAATAATAATACTTTTAACAATAACGCAACAATAATTAAATACATGTTTAAATAATAAGTAATACACAATAAAGAGGACTACAATTGAATAAAAGGATACAATATAAATAAGTCCCAGACTTTATTGTGTATTATCCGCGATGATTTTACTCATGTGCATGTGTCTTTTTCAAGTCTTATGTGTGCTCGTTTTTAAAATAGTCGAATTAATCAACTAAATTAAACTACATTATTGAATAATAAGTAATACATAATAATAATGATGATGATAAACGACTACATAAATAATTACCCCTCTTCGTTTTTTTCTTGCCATAACTTGGGTTGTTGTTGTTGGGGAGCCACATCTAATAAATGATCCATTGCTGTGCCTGCATGGGACAAACAAAATATATATATATATATTCATTTTACTAAACAGAATGTTTTATTTTTGTTATGGATGAGCAATTATCCAAAACCACACAGTTTACTTTGTGTAATTTATGCATCAATGCATATTTTGATAACACCATTAATCCTGTATTTAAAATACCTTAAAGAGAATTCTCCAAAATTGCCTGCATGGCTCATGAACCACACATCAAGGTGATTTGCACTTGTCACCTGAAGGTTTACACCAGAGTGAAACTTTTTCGGCATGCACATTTGATAAACTTTACTCAACTTAAAAGTTTAATCATTTTTGCCCTCTGTGGTGCACACGCAGAAAAATGTTGCCTAACCAATTTGTGACATACTGTATCTACCCAATATTTACCCCAAATCTTTATGAACTTACCCAGAATAATTATTCTCACTGCCGACATCAATAGTTTCATCCATGTCGCTGTCAGAAGTACTATCCTCACAAGGCCTCATCATGGTCATACACACGCTATGTCTATATGAACGTATCCGTGGATGGGTGCGCGTCCAGGTAGACTTGACTGGTGCGTGTACAATTCCCTCTGTACAGCTTTCCCACGAACCGTTGGAGCCTCAATCACAGATGCAGGGGAGCGTAGCCGCCAACGTCCTGCTTGGCAACACCCACAGCAGAAAAAACACGCCCCGAGCCACTGAGCAATGAGGAGAGAGAGGTTTGTGGTGCAGCGCTGGACCAAGTTCCCTAGATAATTGACTGCCCAGTTTTAGTACTGTTTAAGACACCCGCGAGCCGCGAGAAGCGTGAGGAACTGTTTACAAGAACTCGGAATGTGACAGACCATACACAGGACATATAACACTGCTTCAACCATAACAAAACAGATATGTGTGGCAGGGAATAATCAATTACAGTAGCCAAACCGTTACCTGAACTTGAAAAAGAAAAAGTAGAAATATATAATAATTGATAAATATATAGACTTTATGTTGCTAAAATCATTTATCTTCAGTGAGAAATTCATTCCTCTGAGCAACCCCTCCTGCAAGTATCCATGTCTCCAAATTCATTTTACACAACTAGGACAACTTTTTTTTCTATGTTTGGCTATGTGGGTATTTCCAGCAGCAGTGGAGATAGGGACTAGGACATATTATAGAACTATTACTGCTTTTTTTTATTTCCCCCCAGAACTGTAACCACCATCATTCCCCACTGATATGCAGAGATATAGTGATACACTTTTGAATTATGTGTTGAATAGTTTGCCATAATAACCTGAAGAAATACATTTTCATAATTGATCACATTAGCCTATTATGAAATGGCTGTCAAAGGGATGGTGTGTTTGAGAGAAGTTAGATAATCTAAGGAAAGTTGAAGATGGTGGAACTGAACATCCTGACCATAAGCAATCCTAATCTGCCCCCAGGGAGGGGAAGGAAGGAACATCTATCTGTAGTGTGTATGACATCATGGACTTGCATGGAGTATGTCAAGAGTCTACACCTGGTCTTGAACTGAGAATGTCTACTCAACATCAAGGACTATAAAACGAGTAGATGGAGACATGGGGGTGACAAAAACATCTGATGTGAGCCTTGGTAAAAGAGATTTTCACACATCTTAATAATCTGTTTAGAGATATGCCACTATGGCTACGTTTCTGATCTGTTTTTCACTAACAGGCAATCCGATCAGCTCTGAAAAAGATCTGATATGAAAAGATCTGATTTGATTGGTCAAAAGACCAATTAGTGGAAAAAATATCAGAATTGGGTTGCTTGTGAAAATGCAGCCTTGGACCCAAAGCAGATTTGCAACAGATAGGGAGCGCTGTTTGGAACTGAAGTAAAGAAATTGGGATAAAGATAAAATAAAAACACACAAAAAAGGTAAATATAACTGACGATCCAAAAGAAAGGAAAAATAAACCAAAGACAAATGTTGCTTCTGGTTTTAAACACGTTGCAGTTCCTGTGAGAGAAGTAGCTCACGACAAGGCAATTAAGAGGAACACACACACAACGAGAGGGGCACAAATTAACTGGGTCCCCTGCCAGTTGGAGGCTCCAGCTGTAGTTAGTTTCCTGGGTTAAACAGTGAAGATAGCGCATTGTTTGGTGCACAAACCCCCCCTGTCATGTGCCTTACCCCTGGTGGAGGATAGCACAGTCTCCCAGGCAGCCTGCCAGTGTGGTGACTCGTTCCCACAGCTCACCGCACTGCAGTGAAACCCAATCGCCGTGTGAGAGGCGGCCAGGAACACAGGCTGGGCTGGTGCGACAGGGAGGTTACCGCTAGCCAAGCGTCGCCCCCTCTGCCGACACCATTGCTCTTAACCCTATTCTTCACATTGTTTGTGTTTGTTGTATGCCCAATTGAACTAACATGATATAAAAGCTTAGAAATATACCTCCTGGGTCTGAGAGGCTGGTCTCTACTACCCCCCTACCTCCTGGGTCTGAGAGGATGGTCTCTACTCCACCCCTACCTCCTGGGTCTGAGAGGCTGGTCTCTACTACCCCCCTACCTCCTGGGTCTGAGAGGATGGTCTCTACTCCACCCCTACCTCCTGGGTCTGAGAGGCTGGTCTCTACTCCCCCCCCCCCCCACCTCCTGGGTCTGAGAGGCTGGTCTCTACTCCCCCCCCCCCCCACCTCCTGGGTCTGAGAGGCTGGTCTCTACTCCCGGTAGACCTCCGGGTTCTGAAATTACCTGTCAACACCCTCTCATAGCCCAGTGTCCTGCACAAGCTCTTTCAGGTGTGACCCAGGGAATAGAGGAGTAATTAGAACATTTAGTCCTATTGGGAATTTCCCTACCAATCCCTCCCATGATGAGAGATATCTGCGTTTTAAACCAGTGTGTTACTGTAAATGCATTCCTTTAACATGTTTAATGACTAGCTGTGATCAAGCCGACCATCTAATGACATCTATAACAATATCAGGTCACAAAGACCCTTGAAAATGATTTCAAAAGTAGTTTTGATATTATAATTTGCAACACAGGTGGCAAAGTATTCGAGAATTCATTTCACGTGTCCTCCAGATCCTCCAAAACAGTGTAAGTTGTTGAACATTTAATTTGACAAAAGGGGGATAAAACTTCCATCTCCTCCTCCTTTGTCTGTATGTTTTCACGTTCTGTCCTTGGGAGATAGAAAACAAGAGCCACTGATAAAGATGCAGGACATGACTTGAAAACATTAGTCAGAATATGGCTGCCGTTGTCGAGTCTCCTTGACGGCGTCTTGAAACAGTATGTCTGGTGTCACCTCTTAGAATAGTCTGAGCATGAGGCTGGTCCAGCCTTGGGCGACGTGCGCAAGGGCATAATGTACTGTGTGTACAGTATGTGCGTGTGTGTGTGTGTGTGTGTGAGAGAGAGAGAGCGAGAATGTTTGTGTGAGAGAGAGAGAGCGAGAGAGAGAGAGAGAGAGAGAGAGAGAGAGAGAGCGAGAGAGAGAGAGAGAGAGAGAGTGTGTGTGCTTGCGTCCTCCATTCCCATGCAGAAGGAAGGATTCTTGTCATCCCAAACATACTTGCTCCGTGCCTCTGCCTTGTCCCATGCCCCAGCCCCTGCCCCTGTGCCATGCGATGGGGGCCCGGCTACAGTCCCAAACCCAGCCCCATGCCACAGCCGCAGCCCCAAGCCCCAGCCCCGGTGTGCCATGGTATCAGTGGTTCCCAAGGCTGCCCAGCCTGGGAAAGGCTGTGTGGAGTCGTTCCAAAATCAGCATTACATGCATTATTGTTCTAGTCCAAGTCCCCAGCACACAATGAAAACAGCAGCAACAGCCACAATCTCAAGCCCTCCTAATACAAGGCTGCCCTTAGTAACCTGTGAGCTGCCTTCTTTAAACAAAGTTAACCGCTTCATGGCAACAGATGTATTCTCTTTTCTTGGGCTCCGACAAGGACGTCCCCTTTAGCCACTCCCAAAATGAGTGAAAAACAAATGGATGTCAAATGGATGTCTTACAGAATGTCCAATACAGACCTTGGATCTACTGAATAAATCCATTAATTTTGAAGGGCACTGAGAGCTGCACCTGTTAGCACCCTGTTTTTGATTGCTTGTATCATTAATGATTCAGCCCTAAACTGTCTATTTAATATTTACAATTATTTTAGACTTCTGTTTTGGGTGTTTAGGACAATCATTTAATATCAAAACGTTAGTGTATATCATTACAACAGGTTAGCTAAAACAACAATCCAGTCCTATCCAAACAATCCAGACTATTCCTTATTGTTGTCCAGAGACAAATGACCCTCTGTTTATTTTCTCTGAGAGTGGGAACGAGCAGTCACTATGACAATGCCCTGGCTGGGCGGATTCCAAACCTCTGGACTCCAGTTACATTATAGGCCCTTTATTAGTGTTTTAAGGTCACAGAGAGACAAGCAAGTGCATCCTATATCAGGAAGTGGTGTGCGTCTCAGGAGAGAAATATTTGGCTTTTAGTCGGAGCAGCAGCCGTGAGTCGGATATCCTGGGAAGCGAGAACACGGCAGACTGGGTCCAGGCGTTGTACAGGCCAACACTGGAACAAAACGGCACAGAATAATAGGTCCCTTCCTGACATTCTCCCTATCACACTGCTGTACTTCTGTCAGGCCTTTTTAAAACCAACATGTCCGGAGGTTTCCCCCTCACAGGCACAGGCTCAGAGGCTCTATCCAGCAGCCCACAAATCTTCCCCCATTCTGCATTGACAGCTCCTGGTCCAGATAAGGTGTCTCCAGATTGCATCACTCCATAGGGTAGGTATGCATGTTCATGCCAGAGAACTCGAATTCATGAGGACGAGCACATTCACTCATCTGGTGGTATGTTTTTTTTTTTGTTTTAATGAGAGAGCTTTGGCATCCCTGTGGAAGAAGTGGTATAGAACATATTTATAGACATATTACAGATGGGTGTTCCATTCCACTGTTTCTATTTCCTGTCTAGTGACCTGAGTTTCCTGTCAGGATACATGCCTTAGGAAGTTATGGGTCTCCCTACCACATGTACAGTGCCTTCGGAAAGTATTCAGACCCTTTGACTTTTCCACATTTTGTTACTTTACAGCCTTATTCTAAAATGGATTAAAAAAAAAAATCCTCAGCAATCTACACACAATACCCCTTAATAACAAAGTCAAAACAAGGTTTTAGAATCTATTGCAAATGTATTTTAAAAAACGAACAGAAATACCTTATTTACATAAGTATTCAGCACCTTTGCTATGAGACTCGAAATTGAGCTCAGGTGCATCCTGTTTCCATTGATCATCCTTGAGATGTTTCTACAACTTGATTGGAGTCCAGCTGTGTTCAATTCAATTAATTGGACATGATTTGGAAAGGCACACACCTGTCTATATAAGGTCCCATAGTTGACAGTGCATGTCAGAGCAAAAACCAAGCCATGAGGTCGAATGAATTGTCCGTAGAGCTCCGAGACAGGATTGTGTCAAGTCACAGATCTGGGGAAGGGTACCAAAAACGGCACCTAAAGACTCTCAGACCATGAGAAACACGATTCTCTGGTCTGATGAAACCACGATTGAACTCTTTGGCCTGAATGCCAAGCGTCACGTCTGGAGGAAACCTGGCACAATCCCTACGGTGAAGCATGGTGGTGGCAGCATCATGCTGTGGGGATGTTTTTCAGTGGCAGGGACTG